TTTTTTTTTTTTTTTTAATGACCCATCAGTCAGCGTGGAGCCCAAGATGGTGTGAACATTTATTTAAAGAGTTTTTGAGGCACGGCTTTAAAGTGGGCAGAATGTATCCAAATTTGTAAATATGTCTGTCCCTGCCAGAAGAATGGAACTTTTCTTTTTTTTTAGGAGGTCGAATCTCGGGAGGCCTGGGTGCCTCAGTCGGTTGAGTATCCGACGTCGGCTCAGGTCACATACTCACACCCCCGCGTCAGGCTCTGTACTGACAGTGCAGAGCCTGGAGCTTGCTTTAGTTCTGAGTCTCCCTTTCTCTCTGTGCCTCCACTGCGCGCTCTCTCTCTCTCTCAAAAATAAATAACCATGGAAAAATTAAAGAAAAAAAAGAAGGTAGAATCTCAGAGGGAAACATTTGGCCTCCCCCTTCCACTTTCATTCTAATGAAAGGTAGTAATTAGCAGATGGAAGAAAGGATAGGCCAGGTGAACACGTTAACATCTCCTGTAATTGTTGAAAATGGACAGTGCCTAACACACTGGCTAAGACTGCTTTTCTTTTATAGGATGGAATTCAGGGAATATTTGACTTTTCTACGGCCAGGAAAACAGAAGCAAACCTAAAACCTCCTAGGGAGATGAAAGATGAAATGGCCAGGCTATAACCACTTATGTCTCTTGCAGTTACCCTCAGGAAGGAATGGCTTTGGTTCTCCTGAGTGCTGCTTCCTTTCCCTCTACCTCAGGAGATAATGAAAGCAGATCCACAATAATTTTTTCTTAATTAAAAAAAAGTAAATACTCATATATTTGATGAATTCTTAGCACATTACTCAGGATCAGAACTCACCTTAATTGTCATAACGTTATGAAGTTGGCCTTATTCCCTAAATGCCCGAAGTAGTAAGCCAAACAGAAAGTTTATTCGTTTGTTTGAAAAGTAGGTTTTAAATAATAGAGCTCAGTGCCTGCTTCTCTGTTCTTTGCACTCACTCAAGGAATCCGAGTCTGTCTCATTCATCATTATCAGTTGGGAGGAGCAAACTTGATTTAGCTACTGTTTTTAACTTTGAGTAAATTCCCTTGAGATATGCAAGCATTGGAAAGTTTGTTTCTCAGCAAGTTTTTCTCAAGAGTCACATGTAGTGTAAGGTTAAGTAAGGGGCTTATCTTAAATTTAACTGTAACCCTAACGCTAACCCTAACCCTAACCTTAACCCTAACCCTAACCCTGATTCCCTTTAAATAAAGGAATGTATTAGTGCTCAGTGTTGAAAGTGATCAGTGTAGAAAGAGTCAGGACTTTTTTGAATCAGACAGACATGGATTCAAATATCCCAACACTAGAGTTTATTAATTACAGCAGCTAAAGTTTTGAGCCCTCTGAGATTCAATCTCCACATCTATAAAATATGGATTATACTACCTACCACATATTATTTTACAAGAATTGAATAAGATAATTTCCACGTACCACATGGTGTCTGGTATGCTGCAGGGCAAGTAGGTAATAAATATTAATATTGACTTTTCATGTTTCTCTGCTATCCAAAGGTCACTTTAGGATCTACAGTGGAGGAAATATTTTTCTTTCTTTTATAGGAAAAGTAAGACAAGTTCAAAAGATTTATCTAACTTAACACAGAAAATTAAACTTCAGATCTTTATCAAAAAGCAATTAGGTAAATCACCTGAGAACATTTCAAGAAATAAAACTCAATTCGAATTATCTTCAAATTTACCTGGGAGCATATGTATATTTAATTATCATCCATGCTGTATTACAAGGAGGATGCATATTATACATATTTTCCAGACAAGGAAACCAGGATGCAAAGGTGGATCGTTTGCTCAAGCCACACAGGTAAGAGAAATAGAGGAGAGATTAGGACCCTGGCCTCATGTCCACGGTCCAGTCTTTATTCCAGTTCATCCTGCAGAAGGGAGGTCAGGTGTAGTCATTTGTCATTGTCCTTATCTTCACAATAGTCACCTCCAGCTTTTTCTACTTCTAGCCAATTTTACATACCTATGCTACCTGTAGGGATTAATGACTTCATGATTCCTTTTTTTAAAGATTATTTATTATTTTGAAAGAGAGAGAGAGAACAGAGAGCACATACATGCGCCAGCAGGGGAGGGGCAGAGAGGGGAACAGAGAGAATCCCAAGCAGGCTCCACGCTATCAGTGCAGGGCTGGTGTGGGACTTGATCTCACAAACCATGAGATTATGACCTGAGCCAAAATCAAGAGTCAGATGCTTGAGCGACTAAGCCACCCAGGCACCCCTCACGCTTCCTTTCAAATAAAGATCATTTGCTTAGAGCAACAAGGTGAGAAGAGATAAAGTCAGAAAAGCAAGAGTTAGAAAAAGTGATAATTATTTATGTGTGCGCCCTGAGGCTTAGAATCCAGAGGTCCCAACAGAATTAGTGTAAATCTGAGCAAAATGAAAATGTTGCTTACTATCAATATTTGTGTACTATCTGTTAATTCTCACTTTACTAGAAATACAGTTGCTTTGCTCTCATCATACGCTTTCCATGAAAAATCCACATTTTTAAAACAAATAATTTATTCACAAAATTGCATAAGGAATCACTGCAGGATGCTTTAACATACAAAGCATCTCATCCCATTAAGATACTAATTCAGTGTATGTGCATTTCAGGGTTGTATCTTTTATGAGCTTCACTTAGAGTTTTTGCTTCTATGAATTCAGAGCTATTTTTTTTTTTTAATTTGGCCTGGCACTCAGTCAACCTTCAACTAAACATATCTAACCCCATGCTTGCTTTATGTTTCTTCATTCCTTGGGAGGAAGGAAATATTTTAAAGTAAGTCCTAGACATTATTATTTTTCACCCCTAATTACTTCACTGTATGTATCAAGGAAAAAAAAAACACCTTTACAAAGTAAACTGAAATAAAATTATCACACCTTCCAACATTTGCAATACTTTTAATTCCCTGATTCTTCGTAATTTGCTGATGTTTGTATTTTGAAGGAACTGAATATGCCTTATTCATCTCTTCTCTACCACAGTGCCCAGCACAATATCTGGGACAATAAATATTTATAAAATGTAACTTAACACAGGGCATTTGATTTCATTCTCATCCCTGTGACGTAAGGCCAGGGCTGTTATCTATGTTCTGCTGCAGGAGAAATGGAGAATCACAGCTCAGCCCGGGAAAGTAGTCTCCATCATCAGGACCAGCAATTTTTCTGCTGCAGTTTAGATTATTTGGTACCAAACTTGAGGATTTAGAGGGGTATCTGGCTAGGCATCTAGTTATACAACAGAAAACTGAGGCAAACACACTAGATAAAACTAACCCTTACTGTTAAGCGTAGTTAGTGTTTAAGGATAGAAGATGCAGAAAGACATAGGTCATTTTCTGCATAGTACGCTTCTGTTTCTTAGGTTATATGCATGTTCTCCTGAGTCTATGTCTCAGGGCTCCAAGCTTCTCACTTCAAGACTGTGTAATTTTTTCCAAACAAATTCCAGTAAGAATGTGTGTTCCCAAATTCACTTCTGTTGGACCCAGGCTATCAGAGATCGCTCACTTTTGGACTGAAGAGTGACTTTTTGCCCTGGTTTTCTTCAAATGTACTTCTGCTGATTGGAGATGATGAGATTTCCACCCACCTCACTTGAGGCGAGATTGCCAGCTTTGAGGAGTGAAATCCAGAAAGTGTTTCTTTGTGTTCATCAAAATATCTGTGCCCACACAGGACAAAAAAAAAAAAAAAAAAAAAAATAGTGTGTTCAATGTAATTTCCATGAATTGTGTTCATTTCATTGATCTAGATTTGTTTGGCATTGCATTTGCAGGGCTTCTTTCACAGAGGATGAGAACATTGAAAAACCGCAAGTGCCATTTGATGCAATTGAAAATAAAAAAGGTAAAAAGATATGGTCTCACTGATTCCAACATGAAAATAAGTATTGCGTGGCTCAAAAAATACATAAGAAAGTGTTTCGCTTCATTAGCAATAAAAAATGGAAGTTAAACTAGGAAATACGATTTTCCTTCAAATTTGAGACGATTTTGCCTCTTAAAGATTATAGAGCTCGGGAAAGTGTAGGGAAGTAAGCATTCTCATGCTACGTGTGCTAGTTAAACTGAGCAACCTCCCTTAAGGACCATAACAACATATAAGAAAATCCTTAGAAGTTATTCTTGCATCACAGAAATTTCACTCCTAGATATTCAATTTAAGCAAATAATTAAGAATGTACACAGAAGTTTAGTTACATGAGTTATTAATAAATAAAAAAAATTAGAAACTTCTATTTTCTACAGTTACTTCTAAAATTACTTATAATACAATTACTTCTACTGTAATAATACTGGATTGGATAAATAAGTCATAGATTTCCAACAAAATATGATAAAGCCATTCCAATATTGCAGAAGAGTTATTTATGACATGAAAGATGTTTATGGTATATCATTAAATGAAAGAATTGGCTACAAGCAACTTGGGCCTCAGGGAAAACTAATGGTGATTGTAATTTTCTCTCCTGGACTTATCTTTATGTTCTAATTTTTTCCTTCTAAAGAACATCTGAGCTTTTTGTCATACAAAAAGAAAATGTTTCTAACTTTAAGAATAAAAGATGAAAAGAAGTACTACGTTTCTACAATTTTTTAGAAATCAAAATTTTCCTAGTACAAATCAAGGTTTAATACAATACAGTGGTTCTCAACATGTGTGGCCCCTAGACCAGAAGAAACATCAACATCGCCTGGGAAATTTAGATGATTCATATCTGCTGAATCAGAATCCTACTTTTCTGGGTATGAGACCCAGCACTCTGTATTTTTCTTAAGTGTTTATTTATTTTGAGTGTTATTTTATTTTTTGAGGGAGAGGGAATCCAAGCCGAGGGGAGGGACAGAACGAGAGGAGGACAGAGGATCAAAAGCAGGTTCCGCTCTAACTTGCAAACCACGAGATCATGCCTGAGTTCAGGTGCTTAACCCATAGAGCCACGCAGGCACCCCAGCACTCTGTATTTTAAGAAGCCCTTCAGTTGATTCTGAGGCATGCTAAAGTTTGAGAAAGACTGAGTCAATAGAATGAAGTGGTAAGCCCAGTGAAGAACTGATTATAAACTGCTACTCTCTTTCTGGTTCCCACCATTTTTTCTCTTTAAATGAATGATTTAAGCATTCTGAGTACGTTTATTCATTCCTTTGTTCCATCAGTATTTACTAAGGAGTTTTTTATAGAGATGTTTGGTTCGATTCAGAAACTTAAGAGTAAATGTCAGTGGAATCAACTGGATAGAATTTCTGTAATTCTAATGATTTGGGATATTAAAGTCATAAAATCATAGAACTAGAAGGAATCTCAGTAGATCACCTTCAGGCAATGGAGACATTTAGACCATTTATTTTTCTCCCCTAATATTTTCCTATTTGGAAAACTCATTCTTCTGAGATTTGAACCGAGTAACTTCTTTTACATAACTTTCAGTTTAACTAAGAAGTGCTTTCTGATGTAATAAGTTAAGTAATAAAATATGTGTTTTACTAAGTTGTGCTGTTTGAGATTAATGAATATGTGTTCTTTTTGTTTTGATTAATAGTTTTCATTTTAAAGTAACTTCTCTTTTTTTAGCTTCTGTTCCACGAATTATGAGTGAAACCAAAGAAGTTCATTGTAGTAATGGTGAGTTCCAATTAAAGTCTTTCAGTGGCAGAACCAATAGTGAGACACAGCCCTGCGTTGAAGAAATCGTCATTTTCTCATAGTTGGACACTTATAGACTACAATATTAATATTGCAGTAAAATAAATAAATAAATAAATAAATAATAAAATATTAAGTACATTTTTAGAAGTTTCTGAATAAGTTGTTATCTGTCACTTTTGCATAAGAAGAACATTTTTATATCTCTGTTTTTGAACATGAAATATTATGCTCATGTGTTTAATGACAGTGACTTTCAAACTCATTTTGAGGAGTCCTTAGGGTATTAAGGCTTTGCCTTGGAGACTGTTCAAGTGGAAACACTTAAGCTTATCTGCTTTATACATTGATTTTTAGGGCTCTCACCACCCCACAGGGATTCCTTTTCTGTCAGATTATTGACATAATGGATAATACTTGAGTTGAATTTTCTTTATTAGAATTGAGAATTTTTAAGCTGCTTTTTAACTTATTTTCTTAAAATTCATGATTTTTTTTAAACCAAAGTATAATCAAGAAAAATAGTATATATATTATAGTAATACATTTCAAGTGTTATATAGATTTTAGGATGTAAAAATAATTTTGTTCACTCTGGTCAGCATTATTCCAGTGACCTTGCCAATATATATCTAGAGAATATAGAGAGAGAAATATAGAAGGAGAGAATATACAGAGAATAGGATATATATAGAATAGAATATAGAGAGAGAGAATGAATCTAATTGATCTTTCCAGGATCACAGGACTGTTAAATACCTGAGCTGGATCAAAGCTGGGTCTTCCAATTCTTTGTTTAAAGCTCATGAGTTATCTTAATACTTTATAATAATATGATAGAATAATAAGAGTTTACTTAGCAGGTTTGCTTTTTGAATATATATATTGCTATTTGAATATATATATATATATATATATAGTGCTAAGACATGCACTTAGAAAATTTAGCCTTTCACAAATAAAAAATCTATTCCAGGAAAATATAAAATCTGGAAAAAAATAAAATTTATAGATTAAAGTTTAATTTATTTTAAATAAAAGTCTTCCAATTTAATAAAATCTAATTTGTATCTTCTATAATACAATTTAATTCATTATGTTTTAACACTATCATTAAAATTGGGGTAGACTGAGAGGTTATATAATAGTATGGCATAATAGAATCAACAAATACATTCAATTAAAAAAGCAACATTTTAAATAAAGTTTTGCTGATCAGGAAAAAAGAACAGATATCACTTATGCCCTTCCCTCCCTGCACTTGCCATCCAATCTCTTCTAGAAAAATACATGCAACTTTGGGAGACTGGTGCCTAGCTATAGTGGGTAAAGTACTAGGGAGAAAACCAGGAGCAAGATTAGAATGCACATTTGGGGGTGGCTGGGTGGCTCAGTAGGTTAAGCTTCCGGCTTCAGCTCAGGTTATGATCTCATGGTTCACGAGTTCGAGCCCCTCATCGGGCTCTCTGTTGTCAGCATGGAGCCATCCTCGAATCCTCTGTCCCTGCAACCCCCTCTCTGCCCCTCTCCCACTTGCTCTCCCTCTCTTTCGCTCTCTCTCAAAAATGAATAAACATTAAAAAATTAGGAATGCATATTTGTCAAGTGCTAGGTTCTGGGGTAGATGCAGCATCAGGAAAGCCACTTCACCTCTTTGGTATTCTATTTTATAATTTATAAAATGAAACAACTGTATGGGGATAATCTTTTTTTTTTTTTTTTCCAGTTCCCAAGTAACGTGTTCTGGAGGAGGTGAACGTGTTAGATAAGCTCTTCAGCTTAGTTCATGTTTTTATGTTGATAAAAACTAGTCCTACCTGGGTCCGCATAATTAATCTTCCCACTTTTATGGTATAATTTAAGGTTTAAAAAATAACTTGATGATGCCTCAGAACAGGTGGGATTATCCTTCAGAGTCTAGGCTGTTCTCGTGTTTAATATGAGTTATGATTATCCCTCAAGAGGGCAATAAAACTCTGTGGTTAAAAGGATTCATTAAAAACAACCAAAACTTCAAACAGCTTTCCCAAATATGCTTGCCAAAGAGGCTAAGCAGCCTGCTACCGCCATAGCTGGCACTGGGTTCTCCGTGGATCTAGGTGAACTGGCCTGAGGCGTGCTGGCCCCGGGCTGGGAAGGATGCCAGTGAAACTCCAGGTGGATCAGCAGCACTGATGATTCAGGTGAAGATCATGTCGAGATAAATCAGCCTTTAAGCAGGGGTTTAGGATGGAGCACTTCAGCCGGAGGTGGAGAGATTCTGATGAAACCAAAAACAAGCACTTGCTAGAATCCTGCTTAAGAGAATTCCTTACACATTTGGTCTCGTGTAGGGCTGAGTTGCGGTGTTATAATGGGCAAGCCCCACTGGAAACTTTCACTGTTAAGTGAAAGTGTGAACTGCAGGGAAATCAACTCTCAGTGACTGATTTATAAAAATATATCATCTGAAGTTAAAGTACGTCCTCTGTGGTTACTGTTTTGAAAAAATAAAGCTTCTACTTGGTTATTCATTTAGCTGATTTTGAACATAAAAGAGTAATGCCAGTGTTTATGTATTCCCTTTTCTACTTAGGAAATGGTCCTCCCAAAAGCACGTTTTATATCTCTGGACTCCAGCCTGCTTAAAGTGTTATGTTAGGTTCACAGTCTCCATTTGAGTCAGATCTCACGACCAACAATAGCCTGTTTTTTTTACTGTGCTTATCTCAGTGCCTTGAACACGGAATGTGCTGGGGGGGGGGGAATCTTTGAAAAAAAATGAATGCATTATTAATAAGTGGTTGAATTCAAATAAAAACTTATGGTCCTTTTTAGGATGAGATCTAATAATATAATCTTGCCCTCATTCTTTCATTGGTTTCTCTTTTGTTATAGAAATTTCAAAAGTTGACATGATCATCAAAATTATAGATTCAATCCACCTACGTTTTTCAGCCAGATCAAATATTTGGTAACAAGTAAAATCAATAAAGTCGGTAGTTTCCCCAATTATTTAACCAAATTGACTAGTCATTTATTTTTTTATTAAGACTTTTCCCTACAATGAAATTACAATGTATCTATTGTATTATTATTTATTCCTAATTTGTACCTGAGGAGTTTTTTTCTTTCAAAATCTGGGAAAACTATACAATGTGGGTCAGAAGTACGTAGGGTTTTTTTTTTTTTTTTCAATTTCATTTTTCGTTTTCATTCTCATTAGTGCCTGATGGAAGTTGTACTGAGACACAGGCCTCAGAACTGGAGCCCAGACACCCAGAAGGCTGGTGGTTTCCACTGCCACGGATTTGGTGGTGCATCCCCATGTCTGCCAAAGAAATATAAAAAAATTCGGCATCGTTAAGTCACAAAGTGCAGGATATAATGGGGATGTAACGAGAGAGGAAGACAAGGAAGAGATTGTGAAATGCCTTGTCTGCTTTATTAGGAGCTTGGACTAAATTTGGGAGATAATGAGAAACCATTAAAGAATTGAAGCTGACCCAGAACTGATTGTAGAAAAATCATTGTGATAACTGTATACAGAGAGGGGAAGAGGCACAGCTGATGAGATAATCTACTTGCTTCAAGTTCGGTGGATAGCTTCCTGCAACGAATTCCGTGTTCCCTTTTTCTGTTGCCATGTTGTTAACCGTCATTGAACATCTTATTTAAAAGACAAAAGATACTTTCATTTTACCGATTTCTATAAAATTTCTCATTTACTGGAATTTTGTGAACTACTGAAAAGTATTTATGGAGCAAAATACTTATTAATATTTCTTTGAAAAACGTTTGCTAAACTTCTTTTGAGTAATTTACTTATCCCAAACATGACGCAATATAATTTAGCAGCGGCTGGTGTGTGTGCCTACAAATGTACTTTTCTTTTACTCGTCAAGATCCTTTTGTAAAAAATCGGGCTATCGCATGGAAACATATTTTTCAAATGACTTAGAATCAGTGGTATGAAGTAATATGCTAGGTTCCATGACAAGATTGAACAGAGTATGCCATTTCCTTCTCATACTTGAGGGTACTTCCTTACGCTGAGGTGACCTGGGTGGAGTAGGGAGGGGGGTCTCAGGATGTCCTGCTGATGTTTTTGTATCTAAATGTTTTCTGTAATATTGAATTTCACATTCTTCACTCCACCCTACTGCCTGTAAGCTACTATATCAGTTCAATGGCAGTTTAATGACTCTCCCTATTAAATTTTCCTCATTCCCTGCTGACGCCCTTCTGTTACCACCTCAGAGTCCTCATCCCCATTCACCAGTTGCTTGATACATGCAGTAAATGTCATGAACGTGTTATCAATCCACTGGTGAGACATTTTCCCGCCTTCTCTGTGCCTTCAAACGTATAAGGACTGAGCAAAAACTAGCAACTGTCTAATGCCAGCTAAAGTCAACAGCTGTGTATAAGGCAAATTGTACAAAATCTGACAAATAGAAAATTCAGCTGAAGCCACAAATCAAATATGACCAGAGTGCCAAGCAGAAAATCAGCAGTGATCACTAAGTGAATGACTAAGGTTGTTCAAAGGATAATCATATATGAGTTTTCAACATTTATCCATTTCACAGTTGTCTTTTTTTGTTTGTTTTTTTGTTTTGCTGTTATTTTTTCTTTTAACAGATGACACACAATGTTATATCAAACAGATCCTCACACATCCACATTTGGAACTGAATCCTGAATTTAACCCGAAGATCACAGATTATTACTCTGAAGTTCCATTTGACGTGGTAACAGTGACAATTGGAGCAGAGACTTCTAATTGTCAGTGCAAGGTGTACCTGCACGATCGGGCAGGAACAAGGTACGGGGGGATGTTGACCAGGGCTGAGTGGAGACATAATAATGGGAAGCAGATATTTGAAGCATCCTTTGAAGATTTAGAAAATCTGAAGCGTAAGATCAGTTGGAGAGATCACCAGGGTGTGAAATCCTTTACCTTTCAGGTGTCATGTGGTTAAAAAGAACACATCAGTGCTCTACTGATCTTTTAGCAATATTTGTACCTAATCTTTGTAACAATGTTGAGCAAGAGAGGATCTTGTTATGTGAAATATTAAAGAGACTCATCAAGGGTAGCTTCCTTCTACCCTAACCCAACTCCTCAAGATTTTGAATATTCAGGGATTGAATAAGCATTTTCATGACAATTTATGAACATGCTAACACTAACTTTCCCAGTCTCGTGGAATTGTTTTCTATCGACCCTCTTGAGAGTCACTGACTCTTTTGTTTACAATTTTGAACAGCAGGTAGAACTTTGTTACATGCCATGTCCAAGGCAAGGAAGATACTCATGTTCCCGTGCTGTAGGGAAAGAAATACACTTGGCATCCTGGGAGCTAAGAGAGTCCAGTAGCAAGAAAAGAGGATTCAAGTCAGACCAACCTGGGTTCCAGCCCTGACCCTACCATGGGACTTTGGGCATAGAGTTGTTTTGAGTATTAAATCAGATAATGTATGACCCTGAGAAGTGGTTAATAAATATGAGTTTCCTTCTCTGTGGTTGACAGAGGACCTGAATTGCTCTACAAGATAACTGTTGGCATACCAAAGTACTATGAAACATAATGAAAACTTTTTTCATATTTTAAGTTTCTTATGAAGTTGTATAGACCTTATCTACTTTTGTATGCAAACTAGGCATGTAATGAATATTGATATATAAATCCATTTGGGCTGAATAAATGTTACTCTCTCTGTCTCTCTCCAGCTTTGCCAACTACCCTCTGGGCTTGGGAATGAACAAAATCTCAATGTTTGTGGCAGATGAGTCTCCAGCACAGGGTGAGACCCTGATCACGTACAAGCTCACCATCTACAGAGAAGATCGTCCAAGTCTGCCCTTGTTTGAGGACTTCTCAGCATGCGGGTTTGTGCAGGTAAGTGAATTCTCCATTTGCACTTGGGTTGAATTGGGAGTGATCTGTTAACCCAGGTGCAAAATGCCAAGTGAAAATTGTTAGGAAAAAATGTATGCTTTTCAAATCCAAACTGGTCTCATTTTAAAAGAGAAAGGGCCCCAGCCAGGTATTTAAGATACCTTGCTGCCAGTGGTTTTCTTTCTAGTGTGGTGGCTTCTCCCTACACGTACTGTGTTCAGTGGAATCGTTGTGGTTAATATTGAAAAAAAATGTCTGAGTGCTCACACTTAGTTATAAAATTGCTTTTACATTTCCATTTTAAATTGTGCTGTGTTTCTTGGATTTGTACCTGAACCTACTCTGAAATTTTAAACTAGATTCAGTGGAGTTTATTTTAAAGAATTAGAGGAAAATCTGTGAAGCTATTTTATGGAAGGGATACCAGATGAATGAAATTAAGTTTGCTTGAGTATATATATTTTTCCTGCACGTCCTGCATCTTAATCATTCCTAAAGGCCGTAGTTTCTCTTGTGAGCAGCACATACCGTTATGTAGCCCTGTTGATGTTGGAAGGTGACTTCTATCCAGAGACTTTATCTATTTTGGTGGTTCTTTCCTCTGTTTCTTCCTTTTGTTAGGATTCTAGGTATAACCTACCACATTTCCTCGCATCATATACCCTCACTGGAGATCCTTCCGGAGAAGTAGTAATTGAGACTCTTATCAGATCTCCTAATTCACTTAGAAAGTATAATTGCAAATATGTCGTGTCTCAATGACTGACAGCCTGTTGGGTCCACTGAGGCACAGAGGATTAACAAAGGAGAGAAGTAGCTGACTGAGACTCAGTGAGTAGGATGAGTACCATGTTGCCTTAAATGTAGTGGCCAGATAAGTGTTCTCTCCCCCTCTACCCATTCTTTGTCAGAGTGTATTTTATGCTTCCGCTCATCTGGCCTGCCCACTCATCCCCAAACATGCTTCCAAATCTAGATGGTGGTCACATATATAACCAGGTGGTACATAAATAAATAAAAAATCTAACTATGAACTTGAGATCGGTGCAATTTGTTGTATATAAAGTATATCTAAATGTATCTTGCTATACATAAATTACGTGTGCTGAATGTAAGTTATACTTCTAAGAGCGAAGCATTAGTGGGGAAGTATGTATTATCTTCCAAGACATGCATCTCTTTTCAAATATTATATTCATCAAAAATAAGTTAATTACCATGCAGCTTCCTTAGACAATGGATTATATTAGGAATTTGTTACTATGATAGGAAGAAAAATATTAGAAAATTCTTGTGGGATGTCTCCTACAGATGATTGCAGAAAAGTATTTTAGTCATTTATAAGAATCATTTCCAGAAGGTTTTAATTTAAAGTTTATGTGTGGTCCCACAGCAGTACTATATTTTATAACATGGAAAAGTGTCTAATAAGCACTAGTATTTTTTTAGCCTTCCTTTTACAAACTGTCAAACGACTAAAGAGATAATGAATGAATAATAAGGATTGATTTAGACATTTATTGAGGCATGTGTGGCCTCAGGAACTTGGAGAAGTCAATGGCAGAGGTAAGATTTTCTCACCCTAGGCTCCAGTGATAGTTCTAATCCAGAGACCTTTCCCTTATTTCTACTTTATGCTTAATCTCATTAGAGTCTTGAACTTTCACTGCAAACTGGCACCATAATGATGTTCAGAACACAAAGAGTAAGGGATACAATTTCTGAACTCCTATTAATTCTCAGCTATTCCAGAGTTTCCAAATTACTAAACACATATACATTATGAGACTCATGAACTTTTGTTATTCTAAATTGTTCTTTTTCTTTTTTATCAAGAACCATAGTGCCTTCTCTATATTCTCATGTTGAAGTCTAGAGTCCAAACTATTGCATATGAAATGGTAGACCGTTGTGTTTGAATCCCTAAAAGCTTGCAGGTACCAAAAGAAAGGAAATGAGCTAAACTTCAATTATATTTTGTTGGTTAAGGGGAAAAATTACATTTCTTCTTTATATTTCAAATTAGATTTTGTCCTAATGGGTGCCATTATGAAATTTTAAATAAGCATAAGAGGTGATCTACCTTAAAGTATCCAAAAAAGAGTATCCAGTTTGTGGTTAATCAAGCCTCCTAATTTCTCCTTCTAACACTCTCTCACCTTCTGGATATCGACTATTCATTTTAGCGTTTCACCAAAAGACTAAAAGTGAGGAGAAGGCAAATAGAAGGCATACTAGTCAATTAAAAAATCAATCACTTTGACATTTTGGTGAATAATAAGATAATTTAATTAATTTGTTAATAGACATTTTAAATCATTTATATGATCAAATACTGTTAAATACCTGCTTGGCCATAATTAACTGCTTGAGTTTAGTGTCTATTTCTAATTATATTGCCAGTTGGAATTTGTATATGGTTGCCATAGAGGCAACTCATAGTTTAGTTATTACCAGTGAAGGAGAAAGGGCTAATTTACACAACTGATGGAAAACAACTAGATTTGGTCTGAAGTTTCTCAACCTTGCCAATATTGTGGCCAGGTAATGTTTCATTTTGGGGAGCTATCTTGAGCACAGTAGAATGTTTAGCAGCATCCCTGACCTCTATCCATTACATTTCGGAAGCATAACCCTCTCCAAGCTGTGACAACCAAAAATGTCTCCAGACATTGCCAAATGTCCCCTAGGGGACAAAATTGACCCCAGTTGAGAACCACTGATATATACCAATAACAGGCCTACTTTTCTACTTTCCACTTATAAATCTAGTAAATCTGTAGTGGATTTACTCCAAGTATGAATAGGTTAGAGGTAATCCTTCAACGTTGAATGTTGAAGACTCACTCTTATCTTTTTTCATCCTTGTATTTTTAATTATTTCTGTAGTTGGTAATACTGTGACAGCTCTTTATTCTTCTCATTAATTTGCCATCTTTCCTGCCTAATGTAATTATAATCAGAAATATGCATTCAATTATAGAAAACATGATTCTTAATGAAACATAAAAAAGTCATATAACATACCTAGACTGTTATTTCATTTTGATTTACCCATAAATAGCATAATGTTTTGCTGTTAGGAAGAAGGATTTAGAAAGTAATAAACTGTTATTATGGCTGGAATATGTCATGCTTTGGAATTAATAAAATATATTTATGTTCTAAGGAAATTAAAACACATATGGGGAAATATTTCTTTTAATATCTCTTTCCAAATCAAAAATTTTTGACATGGATAACAATACAGCATCCACAGAAATTGATTTGTATAAATGATCTATGGGCTCATACACATTTTGCCCCCAAAGTGTTGTGCCAGAATAGAGCCATAAATAAAATCTACAGAAAGGCCATAGAGCAGAAGTGTAGGAGACTACATTTCAAGGATCCATTTGTTAGAAACAGCTTTCATTTTAAAATAAATTACAATTAATAAAGGGAAAATACCAAGGAAAGAAAAAATTTCAGCTTTTGAAAAGGATTTGTCCAGTATTTAGCTATAGATTTAAAACTGACATTTGCTGCCTTATTGAAAAAATTAATTAGTGATCTATATGCTGAACTATTAAATGATGTGTAAATGACTCCAGTTACAGCATTTGGAAATACTTTATAATTTTCCCATCTATATTTGCACTTATTCTCGACACAACGGTTACAAAACAGCTCATGTGATAATTGTCTAATATTTTAGCAAATACCCATAATAAAAGAATAGAAGAACATTTATCAGTGACTACTTAAAATGCCTTTGTTCATTTCCAAAGTTGTAATACCTATTAAATACTCATTTTAGTGATTTTTAGTTACCTTGCCTACCCCAGGACACCAGAAAAAAGTGATTCAGTTTTTCAACAATAGAGCCTGTGTTGTAGTAAAAGACTCCCAACTAGCAACTGTTTAATAATTTTTCTGCTATGCTCTTTGTTCTTACAAATGTGTCATGTACTGTAGGAGATACAATAGCAGCAGAGGTGGGAACAATGCAATATTTATAGAACTTTTATTATATGCCAGACACGATGCTAAGCACTTTACCTTTTTATGTTATTTAATGTTTTCCACAACCTTAAATGCAGGTGACAATTGCCCCAGCCTTTGACAGATGGAGAACATAAGACTTTAAAACATACAGGGTACATGGGTGGCTCAGTTGGTTAAGCATCTGACTTCGGCTCAAGTCATGATCTCATGGCTTGTGAGTTCAAGCCCCATGTAGGGCTCTGTGCTGACAGCCTGGAGCCTGCTTCAGACTCTCTCTCTCTCTCTCTCTCTCTCTCTCTCTCTCTCTCTCTCTGCCCCTCCCCCACTCACGCTCTGTCTCTCAAAAATAAACATTAAAAAAAAGTTTAAATAAATAAATAAAACATGTAATTAGTAGCAAAGGCGGTGTTTGAATACAGGTCTGACAGACTTCAAACTGATCCCCTTAATCATTACTCTGGAATGCAGAATCTGAAGCTTTTATTATACTTATAATCTAATTAACCTCTTTAGGAAACTCATTTGGCCAGAATGTAACCTGTTAAAATTTAGTTAGCTAAAATTTGTTTTCATGGTCATATACAATGATAATTTTTATGATGTTCTAGAATCACTGCAAAATTCTGAGGTCTTCATAATCTCTATTTTGATGAGAAATGTTATGGAATCAGAATCTTCCCTTCCATAGAGTATCTATTGGAAACATTTTAGAGCTAACACCTAATATTTTACCAGACACCATATATATCCTAGTATCAGTATCAGTCTATCTTTATTGGTCCCAGTATTTAAATCAGGTCTAATATTTTACATATTGGAATTAGTCAGACTCCTATTATTTCTACTAATTGCTAAAATGCTTTCCAATTCATAGGCTTTAAATATATATATATATATAT